GCCCATCTGGAGGAAAGGGTCTGAGGGTGGAATGGGAGGTTACTAGGGAAATACAGGATCAAGCTTGTTTTGACAGGAATCACGTCTGTGACGTCAGCCTGGTTCATCCTGTCTTCAGGGTGGTACCGGGCTCCTGAAACAAAAGGCTAGGAAGGCTGGAGGGGAGGTTTGCAGAAGAGACGAGAAAGGTGACATGGTTTAAAATCCAGCTTCCCTGAAGCATTAGTGCAGCCATTTTGATTTTTGTTCAACTTTAGGCTTTTGAGTGGTTTCGATAGCATCAGGCCACTAAACACTGAGCAACTGACTGACATTGTATGGGCTGTCATCTCCGGTTTCTCTGCGGTCACACTTGTCAAAAGAAAACATCCAGGCAGTTCCATGTCCTGCACAACAGTGTGAGATGCTCTGTGGATCCATGACCCAGTGGAACCGAGGAAAATTGCTTTTAAAATAACCATCTAAATTCTCTGGCATCTAAGTGCACAGAGCAAATGAAGAAAGATTTATTCCAGAAAATCTACTAAAACTCAGAAAGAACTACATGGAGTCTGTGGTATTTGAACCAAGACGCACCTTGTCCCTCCCCTCGCAGCTCAGAGAGATGGAAACTCCCCTCCTGTCTGGTACAAACAAGAACCCAGGGCTCTCTCTCCTCCCAGATCCCAGCCATCAGGCTATCCCCAACTGACCTGTTGCTAAGACCAAGTCTCAGGCAAGGACACTTAAGACGCAGGGGCTGTCTTCTGCTCAGACTCTACTGGTGGGACTGGCGCTCTGCATGGAGTGTGGCAGGGCCCAGAATACAAGACCCACCCCTGTCCCTTAGAAAGCTCATGGGCAAGGAATTCCCACCAGGACTGGCAAGCCAACCCACTGAGTACTCAGCTACTGGAGTGGGGGTGTCACTCAGAGAGAATTACATCATTGTGAGACAGGGAAACTAAAGGGACCCCGTGAAAGACTCTCTTGCTGCTTCTGTTCTTGCTAGGACCAAAACCGCAGCCCTATACATGCCTTATGGTAAAAGTAACGCATGCCCTCCTTGTCAAGGTCAAGGACTTAACAATTTCTTTATAGAGTCTTCCAGCACAATAGCTAACATCTAAGGAGTGACGGTGGCGGGGGGGCGGGGGGGGAGGCGGGGGTGGAGGTCACCATGTTCAGGGCATAAGAGACTTATGGAGAACACCTAAACACTCCTCTTCGTTTTGACCACTTCCGGACCACCGTTCTCAATAAAAACCCAAGACCACAAGCAAAGACAAGACTCATGTTTCTTTCTTTTGGAGTCTCCAAGATGCTCTGTCTTCAATAAACCCTGTGCTAACTTCCTCTTAGCTGGAGATTGATTTCCACCCTGGCTGAAGCCAAGGACTCTCTTGGCTGGTCCTGCTGGACCTTCTCGGGGTCCTCGGACCCAGCCACCGTTGTCCCCACTACCCCGTTGCCCCCACTACCGGCACAGAGCCTTGACTCTAAGATTTCCCCCAGGAGGGAGAAGCAGACCAGAGAGAGCTCCAACTCCTCCCTAAAAGAATGGACTCCGTTTGCAACAAATTGTAGCAAGCTGCGAGCTGGAGCTCTCAAAAACAGTAAAGGTCATGGTGAGAGACACTTGTTAGGAGATTGATAGCTTCATTAAAAAATATAGGCTAAACTGGAGGCAGGCTAATTTGCTCGAGGAAAATGCAGGAAGAGGCAACGGGGAAGGGGCCTCCTAGGGTCAAAATGAATCTCTAACACTGACCTCAGGCACTCATCTTACAAAGACATTTTGATTTGATTGAATTCCACCATGAAGAATTCATTCCCTGAGGCATGTGGAAAACAATAAAGTAAGCAGCGGGTGTCGGGTATCGTGAGAGAAAGAGACAGAGAGTCCTGCCTGAACACCTGTCAGCACAGGGTAGTTGTGGGCAAGCTCAAGGCCACTCCCCCGATGGGCACCGTCAGAGACCTCCCCTGAGAGCCAGTGATGGGCGGCCCCTCAGATTAATTCTGCAGTCACTAAGCAAGTAAAACTAGTGAATAGCAATGACAAAGTTGGGGGTGGGTGACCCGTAGCCAGATTTCCCACGATAATATCAAAAATATTTTCAACAAAAAAAAATTGCAAGATACGAATGAATAAGAAAGAATGACCCATTAGAAGGGGAAAGAAAGAACAGAAAACAGAACTGTCTGTGAAAGAGAACAGGTGCTCCCAAAGTCTATGTCATGACACCAGTGACCTCACACTGACTCCTGACAGGTGACCAGAGCTGGCTTGGCCTCTGTCCTTTGCCAGCTTCTACCCCTAAGGCTGAGGCCACTTTCTTATGCTCCCACCTTATGCTAACCCTCCATTGTGTCCTGGACCCAACCTCTCTCTTCTCGAGGCCTCCCCTGAGGCTGTCGCTCGGTTCTGTCCTGCACCATTAACCCCTCTCCCCTGCTGGGACCATTCCCATCCGCATGTACACACCTGAAACATAGACCCCCACCTCTAACTTCACATGGCCTCCAGCTTCGCCCCACTTCTCTCCAAGTCTTGACACGAACCCCTTCATAAAGCTGTCCACACCTACTGATTTCACATCCTTCACTCCCACACCACATGGGTGTTGTCCTCTCCTAACACTGAATGTCTGACTAAGGTCACCAAGGCCCAAAAGCACCCGAAGCCAATGACCATTCCTCTATCCTTTCTTAACTTCCCAGCAGCCCTGGACATGGTCAGCCATTCTCTAGTTCCCGAAACATTTTGTTCTCTTGGCTCTTGGGCCCCATGTCTGGATTCCCCCTGGGGATCCCACAGGCTCCCCCTCCACAGTCCCCTTGCTGGCTCCTCACCGCATCCCCCCCCCCCGCCTCCACAGGCTGACTAGTCCCTTCTGTCCTAAGACAGGAATGCTCTCCTTCTGCACTTTCTCCCTGTCCTTCACATTCAGTTCAGGGACTTCAAATGTGGACTTGGCCCTGACCCCGCCCCCCCATTCACCTGCCTGTTGACATTTCTACCTGCCTGTGGAATAGACACACTTCTTAGGGTCAAAGTAGAACCCTTCCTTATTCTCTTCAAGTCCACCCATCCAAATGTCTTCCCCTCAGTACATGTCACCACCATCCATCCATGGGCTAAGGTCAGATTATTACCAGTCATTTATTTTTATTTTTAAATCATGTCAAATTTAGAAAAAACGTGTAAGACTAGAACAAAGAGCTCCTTTTCACCTTCACCAGATTTCCCCCCACCCTGTAACATTTTACTACATGTATGTGGTGTGCGTTTCATCGTAGTGTTTCTGTGTGGACATATTACCATTTCTTCTAAATCATTGGCAGTCCATTGCAGACTCGGTGCCCCACGACCCCTTTAATGCTTTAGTGCATGTTTCCTTACAAGAAGGACACTGTCATCCACAAACTGGCACCACCAACCACATCAGGACGTTGACACTAGCACAATATTATCATCGCAGACTGCCAGTCATGTCCCTAATGGCAGGTTCATCAGTTAGAACTATGCCTAGTGTCTCCTTAGTTTCCTTTGATCCATAACAGGTCCTCCACCTTCTCTTGTCTTTCCTGACCTTGGCATAGTGAAGGCCAGCTCCTGTGTAAAAAGTCAGTTTGGGTTTGTCTGAGGTTTCCTCAGGATGTATGCATTTTGGGGCAGGAGGGGCAGAAAACATTCATCACCTGTCTGCCAGTTTTCTCCACTGTCAACTTAACTAATAATGCAATTTGTTAATTAATATCAAATTAGTAAGTACGTCTTAGGAGTATACTTGGCAATAAGTCTACATGATTATTTGGCATTCTGCAATAAGAAAACATTTTCCTTTTTCCATTATGTATTAATTTATTATTTATATAAATTCATGGATTCTAATTTACCTAATGGGTTATAATCTGCTTTTGCCATGTTTTGTATTAAAATGGCCCAAGATTTCACCACTGGTGAAGTCTCGACCTGCTTTTATGATTGAATGCGCCAATCCTCCTTGTGATGGCCAGCAACCCTTTGCCCCACCTCCAGTGACACTCTCTTAAAGATTTGCATGTCCGTTCTCACCCATATGATTGGGGGGTGGGTGTAAACCCTGCATCAGCCCCAGCAGTGTGTCCTGACTCTGCTCACACTAATCAGTGTAGCCCATGCCCTCGGAACAGAGGGATGGGTTCCAAATGGGTGCCAGGCCCATTCTGGCCAGTGAGAACAGAGATGTCTGATGGGGCTTCTGGAAAAGACGCTGCCATTCTCTTCCAAGGGAGCTTCTGAAAGACGGGATAGCAAAGAACTCTCCTTCCCTCTTCATGACATGGTCTATAATGTCAAGTTTGGACCTGATGTGCCGATGGCTGCTGCCCAGAAGGAAGCTAGCCTGAGAGCAATCTCAGTACACAGCGGTGGGAGGAACTGAGAGAACGGCCGACTCACAGGACCGGAGCTCTGGTGACCCCACAAATTTCTGGATCATTTTGTGCCTGAAGCTATCCATGGACTGTTTAATGATTTCACCCAATAAATTGCTTTATGCATTTAAGCCAGAATGAGCTAAGATTTCTGTTGCTCGCAAGCAAAAGAATCCTAAACAATACACTCCCCCAAAACAGAAAAAAAGGGGCTTCCTGCAGAGAAAAGCAAAGGACAGGTTTCTGTTCCTGATGACCGAAAGCCATCTCGGCTACAAGCCTACTGCTCTCCCCTGCTAGTCTGAGAGCTTCTGGGGGTATATTCACGGGGTACCCCAGCTCTTAGAGGCTTTATACATATTTTATGGCCCTGTCTGGTTCACCGCGAAATCCCTAGCCTCTAGAACAGAGCGGAACACATACAGTAAACGTGGACTGAATGAGTGTCTGGGTCCCCCAGGCATGCCTCCCAGCCCCTCCCCTCATACCCACCAAAGGAATGGAAGCTGTGGCTACAAGCTTGCATGACATTTTATTCTCTACCAGGGGAGGGCGCTACAAAGAGTTTGGTGAGGGAAACTGGAGGGTCCACCCTGGATTTAGGAAGGCAGGAGCTGGCGACAGTTGTTGAAGATTCCGTGCTTCTCCTGAGGGTCCGGTAAGGCCCCAGAGGCTCCAAGACCTGAAGTGGTGAGAGGAGCCTGCTGTGGGCAGGTGTGTGGGGTCTCCGGGGGAAACGGGGACCCAGAGCCACCTGCCCCTACTGAACACACCCAGAGTTACATCCTGAAACCCAGTCAGGAGCCTGAGCAGACTGTGGGGCTTTGGAGATAAAAATCACAAGCTCCATGAAGGGAAATGGTGGGGAGCTCACTGTACAGGGTGACCCCAGATCTGCAAGTCCAAAGCCTCAGTCAAGGTTAAACGTGCTGCCAGAGCCACTCAGGGGACCCTTCCCTGCCCCACGTCCCGCAGCCCTGGCATGTGCATGGACACAGCCTGAACAGCCCTGGAGGAAGGGACTGCAGGGCCCTCCGTGCCATCGGGCTTCCTGAGCCCAGTGCTTAGGCCCCCAGGGTGCTGGGCAAAGTTGGTGCCTGGCTCCCATCCCCCAAGACCAGTGCTGGGCGGGGGAAGGGAGATCAACCAGGGCTCTGATGTGTAGGAGTATCCCTATCTGAGACCACTTCCCTGGTATCAACCTCCTTATGCATAATCATCTCATTTAATCCTTATTTGAAATAGGAAATAGGGATTGTTATGAACACTGGGTGTTACAATAAGGCTGATAAATCACAGACCTGTACCCTGAAACAAATAATACATTATACGTGAATTAATTGAATTTAAATTTTTTTAAAAAGGAAAAATGATTCAAAAAAAAAAAAAGAAAAGAAAAGAAATAGAGATTATTATCCCCTTCACAGGTAAGGACACTCAGGCTCACCAAGGTGGAGCCACTTGCTCAGGTGCCCGGCTGACCATCGACGGAGACCTGCTGTCACCCCAAGATTGCCTGTGAGAAAAGCAGCACTTGCGGGGCTCCAGCCAGGAGTCCCTGCTCTCCCCTCCGCACTCACCTATTTCTGGTCTGCACATCCTGATTTTCACACAGATTTTCTGGGGGGAGTTGTCATTCTCGAGAGCCTTGGTGACGGCACTAAGGTATTTAGTAACTGTTTTAACTGTTTTGTCACATAGACACTTGGGTATGTGTATCTTCCGGCATACCACGGACACAGCCCACTTGATGGCTTCCTGCAGTAACAGCACCACAGAAAGATGGAGGAGTCAGGGGAGCTCTGCCCGGGTCAGCCCCCTGTGGGCCCCACTGACCGCGGCACGCCGGGAGTGGGACGGTGCCAGGTGGTCATGGAAGCAGGGGCCGGAGAGCTTGGGATTGACTCTCGTGCCCAGGCTCCAGCCCAAGCCTGGCCCGCACCGGCTGTTGAGAGGACAGTTGGCCCTGTCGTGTCTCAGTGCCCTGCACATCATCACCCCAGCCCTTGGCCCTCTGTGTGGGGAGCGGCGCCCTCGGCCGCTAGACCCACATGGAAGGTTCTGCTGCCAAGCTGCCTGGGTCCCAGGCCTGGGGCTCATGCTCAGGGCTGAGGCAGGAAGGTTGGGAGAAGAGAGAGCGTGGAGCCTTGGCACGTTCAATATTGAAGTATGTTTTGCTACCATCGAAGTCGGGAAGGATAAAGCTGAAAACCCAGGGCTTGGGCTGAGGGAAGGCCGGGCAGCGCCAAGAGGCTGAGCCAAATCAGGGAGCAAAGGGGAGGGAGGGAGGGTTAAACAAGTCTTCTTGGTACGGTCAGCCCTGACTCGGGGCCTGACAGGGAGCCAAGCATGTCCCACCCCGCCAGCTCCTTTAAAAGGCTTAGGCGACTTGCAGGACGGGGATTATTTTCCATCTCATTCTTCAGGTAGGAAACCAGGCTCAGAAAGCCTGAGGGCTGGGCTCAGCCAGGCAGCCAGGGAGTGGCAGAGCTGGAGTTGATCTGTCCCGACCCAGGCCCCCCTGGAACCAGCCTCGCAAAGCTCCTCCATGGACACACGCAGTGGGGCTACAGGGGAAAGTTCCTACCTTCTCTGGGTACAAGTTTCCTTTAACAGGGGAATGGAAATCACGCGCACTCTGCTTCCTACATTCATGCGCCCAGAGCTGTGCCATTTCAGGGGATTCTCTGAAGTCAGTTCCCAGACACAGGAAGGGAGCCCACAGATTCCCTGCTGACAAGCTCTGGCCCTGCCTCAGCGCTGCTCCCAACCCCTGAATCCCCACTAATGCCCTTGACCACCCTGTAGATGGTTCCCCAAACTGCAAGACCTTACCTGCGTGTGATTGTGTCTCAGGATTCTTCCCAGCTGCTTGATTATAGCCATACACGTCTTACAGGGGGTGATTATCTGGTCACCCTGTCAGAAAATGATACCCCCTGAGGTGATCTCTCAGACACCCCCAACAGCCCTTGTCAGGGCCCCAGGATGAGGCTCTGGGGTGCCTCCTAAGCCAGCAGGATCGTCTATGTTCTTTCTGTCCTTTAGGGCCTAAAGTGGGCTGGTAGCCCCCTGCCCTCGTTCCTGCTAGTCTTCCTGGGACTGACACCCCAGACCCTGCTCCACACCCATAGCACCTTAGCCAGCTCAGCATCTCCCCCTCTTCTGGTGTCTGGTCAGACCCTGGAGGACACCATCATGGCCCCCCCACCCAGGCAGGGGTGTGCACAAAATCAGCATCTTCAGCCCACAGCCCCCCTCCCTCCCCCCGCAGAGAAGTGCTGCCCCGCCTGGCACTCCCAGGGAGGAGACAATGGCGGAGAGGTGACAAGGGCGGGGTGGGGGGGTTGCTCTGGGAGCTGAGTAGGGAGCCAGCTGCCAACCTTGGGGTCCTCCTCGGCCAGGATCTTGAAGAACTGCTCCTCCTCATACATGTCAGCCACGGACAGGTCATTGTCCTCATGGGTCAGACCAGAAAATGTCAGACCTGCAGAAGAAACAACATCAGCATCTCTCCACATGTGGAAGGGGAGGGAAAGTCAGATCTCCTGGCTTCCAGGGAACCCAGGAGGTGGCCAGAGCCCAGGACAGTGGTGGGGCTTTATGAGGAGTCCAGGAACGCTGTCCTCAAATTCTGCCCTGGGGTTGCTCTGACCCAGTCTCTGTGCCAAAGCCATGCTCTCTAGTTCTTTCTGGAAAACAGGAGGAAAAGATTATATCTCCCCTACCATCATCCATGAACCCCTCTTCTGTCTCTGTCTCTGTCTCTGTCTCTGTGTGTCTCTGTGTGTCTCTATTCTCTCTCTCCCTCTCAAAAGTAAATGCACACTGGCGATTCACAGACCTGTACCCCTGGGGCTAATAATACATTATATGTTTATAAAAAAAAATTTTTTTAAAAGTACACACATAAAAACACACACACACAGATCTGACCTAAAGGAAACTTCCCTCATCTCCTCTCTGAGGTCTTTCTTCTTCTCTTGCCTTCCCCAAAGAATTCAAATCAGGTGGCCTGGCCCAGCCCACTCTCCAGAACTGTCCCTACCCTCAGCTAAGGAGGCGCTGCAAGTGGAATGGGGAATGTCCTTACCTGGGGTGGCCAGGAGCACTGATGCGAGGAGCAGGAGGGCCCAGAAGGTCATGGTGGGGCAGCTGCTGACACAGCCTCCACACCCCCTTTATGCAGGCTGGCCACCTGACAACATGACCTTGACGGGTCCTGCTTCTCATGTAGGCCACCTCTCCAGGTCACTTGGTTTACCGCAAACACAGATACCAGCTTCTGCAGAAGAGGGGGAGGATGGGTTCTTCTGAGGTTACACACTATCTTCCACCTCCCTTTCTGAGCTGAGTGGGGGGTTGGCTGGAGGGCAGCAGCTGCCCCAACCCTGCCTGGGATGTGCTAATGGAAGAGAAATCCCTGCACCTGAGGGGTCAGGTGGGGCCCTTGGCCATGGAGCATCCTGCCCCCTCCCCTTCTCTCCCCCCTCCTTCTGGGGGCTCCCTCCACCAGCCGTCTCCCGTATTCCTGCTCTCCCCCAGCCACAGCAGCCCACCGAGAGCTACCAGATTCTGCCTGATTTAGAGACAGGTCCCTCCGTGTAGATGCTGATGGGTCCTCCCAGCCCAACTTCCTCGGGGTGGTGAACCCCAAGCATGAGGACTGCAGAATCCCTGGTCCCCAGCTCCTCACCAGCCTTCTGGCCATCACCATGGAGGCAGGCTTTTCCCTCAGAGCCCAACCTGGCAGTGACGTGGTCCACAGGGAGAGACAACCTGCGGGAAGAAAGTGAGCCCTGGCCAGGGATCTAGTCCCAGCTCCCCGGGGCTCTGAGTCCTTGTCTGTGCATGAATGTCACTGGCCTTCCCCTGCAATAGACATAGGCTGCCCAGTCGTATCCGGGACCAGATAAATCACAAATAATTATTTCACATGTATGATTCCAAACATGGCATGGAATTTACTCGTTCTGTGTGCCCTGTTCACCTGACACTCACATGACCCAGGGTGTCCCATCTTTTGTCCGGCACCCTTCACCGTCCTCCTTAATGGCTCAGAGGAGGAGACTGGGTGCAGAGAGCAGGGGCCCTGACCTCAGCCACACGGGCTGCTGGTGGCACTGCCGGGGCTGGAACTCGCTTCCTACCTCCTTTGGGGTCTTTCACCCCAGCTGCTGAGACGGCAGAGCCGCCCAGCCAGGACCAGCTGGCACGGTCCCCTCAGCACCTCCCAGCCCTCCAGCCCCCCTCAGCATTCGCTCTCACTACTCCACCCTCTCCCACTGCCTGGGAATCCCTTCACAGGCTGAGGACCAAGGGTCAGCCTAAATTCTCTAAATTCTTGTATCTTCCCTGAGCTCATTCAGAGCCTGCCCGCCTCTGCGGAGAAGGAAAGCGGGTAGAGCTCTAGGCCAGCAGACCCGGACAAGCCGGGGGCACCTGAGCAACATTCCCCATCTCTTGGAGTCTCAGTTCCCTTATCTATGAAATGGGCGTAGTGTTGCTTGCACATGGGGCTCCCATGTGGCCTGTCTTTGCGCATGAGGAAGCTTTTCAGCCTGCACTGTGCCGGCCGAGGTGGGCTAATGTCCTGGGTGGTTTCTGTGAGCACTGCTCCTGTGGGAGGGGACTGGGAGGGGGTTCCTGTCCTCAGGGGGGAAATGCCCTGCTGGGAAGGTGCCACAGGTATTGTCCCCATGGGACTCCTCTGTAGCCTTGACATGCCAGCATTGCTGGTGGGTCCCCAGCTTATCAGTCTCTCCTAACATCATTGGCCACAGAACCTTCTGGTCCAGGAGCTATTATGGGATCGAGGGACACTAGCTGACCTGGTACCCGTCTCAGGATGTGTCTTCAGGAGCACTGCCACCCTAGCAGCCACTACAGCGTGAGGGGCAGCTGTCCTAGGGACTCAAAACAGAAGGACGGACAGCCAGGCTCCTCCCCAGACGGTCAGACTGAGGTCCTCCTCATTCTCACTTCCTTTCCTGCTTCAAGGTGGGCAGTGCGGAGAGTGGGCTAAGCAGGTTCACTACACCCCAGGGTGGGCCAGACTGAGCCGAGAAGCATGGGGGCCCCCAAGTCTTTTCTGGCTCTTCTCCCCAGCCCGAGGAGGGCAGACACACCCACACACTCACTACACATACACTCACTCACATCACACTCATAATGACGCACACTCATACACTCTGCAAAGTACTCACACACTAAGTGTCAGACCACACACTCACACACATTGCACATGTGCGTGCACAGACACATACACCCCATCTTTATTCCTGCCCATTGTGGATGCCACCAATGCCAGACTGAGGAGCATGGAATTTCAGCATTTTAAGTACTTTCATCTCCTATTTCTATTTTTTATTAAAAAATATTTTAGGGGCGCCTGGGTGGCTCAGTCGGTTAAGCGTCTGCCTTCAGCTCAGGTCATGATCTCAGGGTCCTGGGATCGAGCCTCACATCGTGCTCCCTGCTTAGCAGGGAGCCTGCTTCTCATTCTCCCTCTGCCTGCTGCTCTGCCTAATTGCGCTCTCTCTCCACCTCTCTCAAATAAATAAAGTCTTAAAAAATTTAAAAAATATGTTTTAATCAGTTACGAAAGTTCAAATGCAACTGCCTACAAGTTAATCGCGTAAATACAGTAAGCCTGTTGAAGATATACAGGACCATCCACTTACACTTTTAAATAAATATATTTCAAAGTAAGTATATGTTTATGTGTAATTATATACCATAAAAAACTATCTTTAAACACCTTTTTAAACTCAACAAAATATGAACCTCCTTCCAGGTCCATCTATGCAGATTTCCTTCATCATTTCCACTGGTGGCTTAATGTTCTACTCTAGGGATGAGCTATAACTTGATTCTGGGGCTCATGTGTCCACCTTTTCACAGGCACAGCAGAAGCTGGGAAAGCCCTGTGATGTCTCCTGCAATGGTCTATGTGAGTAAGAGAAATGTCGTCTTTAGATAGAGCACCTCATGACCTCAAGATGGCTGCTGTAGCTCATCCAGAGCTCAGGGCCTCATCCCAGGTAGAAAAATGGGAAGAGTGAAGCAGGAAGAGGTGACACCTATTTAAGAAGAGCAAATCTTTCCCAGAAACCTTCTGCTTCCATCTCATGTATAGATCTCAGTCCCACCCCCCAGCTGCCAAGGGCTACAAGGAAGAAAGCTGTCTGCTGGAATTTTGTTGTCACTTTGAACAAAATTGGGCTTCTGCCAGGAAGGACGAGAATGGGAATCAGGTAAGTTAAAGCAGTATGGGGTACAGGAGGACTTCTTGCTGAAAGGCCTTTGGAAGGAAGACTGATAAGACTTGGTATCTAATTGGACACCGAAAATTGAGGAGAGAGGAGGCCAAAGCTTTACCATATTTTGAGCCTGGGAAGCTGAAGGACTGGTTGCGAAGCAGGAAAAGTAAGAGAAGGAGCTTGTCTGTGACAAGTCACGTTGAGGTGTTGCGGTGTGTGCCACTAGACGTGGAACGCTCCAGGGCAGGGTTGCCTCCGCTGAATCTGGGCTTGGCTTTCGCCAAAGTTTGGGTTTTCCCCCATCCCCCATCCCACGCTGCCCCTCTACCTAGGTGTCCAGAAAGGAGCTACTACCCCTCTCCCAGCCCACCCCAGCATTGACTCCCCCAGCTCCCCCTGCTCTCTATGCTCTAACCCCATGGAAAGACTTTGGTCTAATGTGCAAAGACCACATTAATGAAGCAGAAGAGCCTCTGGAGGGTGACTCATGTTTGTTGTGGTTCTGTGGTAAGGCCAGATATTCCAGTAAGTTCTTGCCTGGGGAGTTGAGGGGAATAGCGCAAGGTTCATGTCACGAGACTCCACGCAGGTGTCTGGGGTCCCACCAACGAGCACCTGGGCAGCTCCTACCTTCTTTCTGCTCGTGGGGGTCTCACGGATGCAAGTCAAGCCCAGGCCCTCCAGGATTTCCTGTGTGAAGCTTACTGCTTTGTGTATCTTCTTCAAGGAATCTTGGCTTTCTCCAAGGCCATGAAGGTATCCTCTTGTTTTCTGCCAGGTTTTATGGTTTTAAATTTTGACATCTGGCCTGTGATTCATCTCAAGTGAGCTAGGTTGAGTTTCCCCAGTTTCAGATCAATTTGTTGAAGATTTTCCTTTTTCCATTGAATTGCTTTAGCACAACAGGGTTGGAGGGTTGTATGAAGGCAAACACCAAAGATTTGGGGAGGATGTGTAGCAACTGCTACTTCTGACATTGTTGGCAGGAGTAGAAAAGGGTCAATCACCCTGAAACTTGGAATGACGGCTTTCATGCAGTTAAGCCTCACCTGCCCTATGACCCAGTGATGCCGCCATCTGCATTTTTACCCCCACTAAATGAAAACATCTGTACATACAAAGATTACACAAGAATGACACACATATGTGACCTAACAATGATACTGCTGGATGTATACTCAAAAGAATTGAAAACAGGGATTCAAAGAGATGTTTGCATATCAATGTTCCTAACAGCATTATTCACAACAGACAAAATTGGAAACAACCCATGTGTCTGTCGACAGAAGAATGGAGTAAGGAAATGCAGTGTATACGTACAATGGATTATGCAGCCATAAAAGAAGCAAAGTTTGGACACGTGCTATAACATGGATGAAACTAGAAAGCCTCATTTTAAGTGAAATAAGCCAGACACAAAAAGGTAAATATTGTGTGATGTCACTTACATGACTATCTAGAATAGACAAATTCATAGGGATAGAAAGATTAGGGTTACCAGGGGTTGGGGGGAGGGGCTATGAGGGAATTATTGCTTAATGATTACACAGTTTCTATTTGGGGTGATGAAAAATTTGGGGGAATATATAGTGGTAATGGTTGTACCATATTTTAAGTGTGATCAACACCAATGAATTGTACATTTAAAATGGTTTAAAATGGGGGACGTCTGGGTGACTCAGTCGGTTAAGCATCTGCCTTCAGTTCGGGTTGTGATCCCAGGGTCCTGGGATTGAGTCCCGCATGCGGCTCGTTGCTGAGTGGGGAGCCTGCTTCTCCCTCTGCCTGCCATTCCTCCTGCTTATGCTCTCCCTCTCTCTCTCTTTATGACAAGTGAATAAATAAAATCTTTTTTTAAAACTTGAAAAATGGTTAAAATGGCT